TTTTTTAGATATGGCAACACAGTCCTGCTGCCATTTCCACATATTCTGCATGTACTCTCATAAAATTAAACAACAATCAATTTTTTATAAAAAAGCTGTAATATACTAAAAGTATTTATTTGTTTGAACGTGCACACTCTAACTGCGCATATATTGAGTGTAAATAACGTGTAAATTTAGTGGAAAGTGCATTATATATTGTGAAATAGTCCAATACAAGTTGGTGAAAATTACAAACTTTAATAACAAATTACTTAAAAACTATAAAGTTGCGCGGTTTGAAACTTCATACAGGGAACTATTAGACCCCCATCTACCTCCCATATTTTCCTTAATGCTGAACTCCGGGGTTAGCAATCTAAAGCCCACCCCAAGTCAGTTCCCCTACGATCGTTTGACAGGCTTGAGTGCCAAAGATCGTGGTGCGCATTAAAGTCGCCTACTACCATACGGTTTTCACCTCTGAGGAGCGCACCTATGTCAGGGTGATATCCTACCGGGGAGCAGGTGACAGGGGGTATATAAACGTTAAATATTTCGAGCTCAACATCGCCTGACCGGAAAGCAATGCCCTGGCATTCTAGGGTGGTATCCCTGCGGTCGATGTCTGCTTCGATAAGACGATACTGCACGGTGTGGTGCGTAATGAACGCTAAGCCTCCACCATTATCCCGCTCGCGATCTCGACGGTGCACGTTGTACCCGGCACAATTCAACAGTGTCGAATTGCTGTGCAACTTCGTCTCTTGGGCCGCAGCTATCAATATGCCATGCCTTCCCATGAAGACGGTTATCTCCTCGATCTTGCTCTGAAGCCCGTTACAGTTAAATTGAAGGAGCTTCATGTGGTAGTCCTGAGCAGACTCTGAGGTGACTCCACCCCTCGCAAGCATTGCACTTGACAGAGGTGGAGTTGTGGTGTATTCGTCTCTGGCATACACAGCAGGTGTAGGTTTCTGGCCCTGGGTTTGACTCGATGCCAGCCCTGAGTAGGAGAAAACGTAGCGAATGTAGCCCTATGGACGAACAACTTCTGAGATACTTCGCCGACCTAAACGGGGTTAGATCGCCGAAACAACAGCCCTTGGTCGGGTAAAACTCGAGTCATTCCGGTACGTAGAACCAGCTGTCGTGGGGTAAGTAGGTATGTTGTTGTTGTTGTAGCAGCATACAAATTCCCCAAAGACTTTTTGGGGAGTGCTGCTGGAGTGACAGTCCTTGGCCAGATATAAATCTGGGTCGTTCCGGTTACGTAGACCCGGCTGTAGTGGGAACGGGTAAGTAGGTACCGATACATTCGGTTTACTCATATAAGTAGTATCGAAATAGCGATTTGAGTAAACTCATTTGAGTAGGCATCTATAACTTGATGGCATCGGAACGTCCCTATATACGTGACTTATATTTTAAATAAGTATATATATTATGCAAATACCTCGCATAATTACTCATTTAAATTGGTTTTTGTATCTATATACCGTTAAACTAATCACATGTTTCTTACCAGCTACCAACAGGGTTGCTTAAGTAGCTAAAACGAAATTTTACGCGAGTTGAGCGTTCTTTTGTCGCTCGCTTACAAATAAAAATGCAGCTAATAGCAAATTTATTAGCCTTTACTAATATAAAAAAGGGTGGGGTTTAGTAGCGCTCCCAATTATTTCGGGCTATTCCGTCCAAAGTGGTGGCCCGATCCAAAAAAAATTCCACACACTAGTAGTCAAGGGTCTACACATTATTTTAACACCCACTTTTGTAATTTTTGGTCACTAATTTATTTACAAATTAGGTTTGAAATAAGCCCTTTTTTGTAAAATTCGGAAATTAGCGTACTTTTATCACTCCTGTTCTCCTTAAAGCAGCCACTTCACCAATATATTTTTGTATTCCCCTTCACTTTACACTTTACTCGATTAGTTATAACTTTCTTTACGACTTTAATATTAACCAATTAATCACAATTCATTAAATAAAAACACCTTCAAAATCACGCGTCTGACTTTGGTTGCATATCCAAATTAAATGGCGGAGTTCAGCTGTCAAACTCCAAAATATGCAAAAGAATGAGAGACAAAAGAAGATAGGATATAACCCAGTAAGCATTAAAAATATACAAAGGTGTTCTTCGCAAAACAGAAAGGATAATTCTACTGCCTGAGGGTTATAATCCCTAAGTGCGGCCGAAGGCCGCCTACGCAGAAAGGTGTTCTCTGCAAAAGGTCTTCAGCCCCCTTCTTTGGCAACACAGAAAGGAGATTTCTACTGCCTGAAGGTTATAATCCCTAAGTACGGCCGAAGGCCGCCTACGCAGAAAGGTGTACTCTGCAAAAGGTGTTCAGCCCCCCTTCTTTGGCAACACAGAAAGAGAATTCTACTTTGTGAGGGTTATAATCCCTAAGTGCGGAAGAAGGCCGCCTACGCAGAAAGGAATTCTACGCAAAAATACATTTGTTAAAAAGAACATTTTTTTTTATAAAAACTTGTTTTTTTTCTATTTTTAATTAACTTTTGTATCCTTTATTCAAAATCGCCCGCCCCCTCCCCCTCGGCCTCCACCCTAAAAACGATGGGTGCGGTACTAAACATTTCCCTAAAAAAAAATTTAAGATTGGTCAACTACATCCAAAAACAAAGCAAATAAAGTGTGTGCACAATTTTCAGATCCCAAAACCCTGAAATTTGGCAATATCTCAAAAACTTTTATACTTTCTGGTATTCTGATTTCGTATTCGGATTCAAAGAAAATTCTTTATAAAACCTTGTACAAAAATGTTGCGGTTGGCCAACTGCATCCAAAGAAAATGGCAATAAATAGAGTGCACTTTTTTCAGATCTCAAAAACCCGAAATTCAGCTATATCTCAAAAACTGTTCTACTCTTACATTTTAATTTCGTATTGGGATTCAGCGTGCATATAAAAATGGCGCTGGTCGGACAATTTTTTCATTTCTGTAACTTGTGTTTTTGCCGAAGTGTAAAAACATCAATTGAACCATTAAGTTAACGGTAATGTATTCGCTGGCGGACAAATCTTAATTTTAAAATTCAATTCGATTTGACGTTTAGCTTCGGGCGCGGAAATGGTTTTTTGTGTTCCCGTAGTTTTGGGCAGTTTATTCACTGTTGTGCGAGCATTTCGTACTTACGCTCATTTTCCCGAAAGTAGCCCAAAAATGTAAAAAACAAACCTAATATTAATTTTGCGCAAACACTTGTGCTAAGCGCCCAAATAAATAGATTTTTGGTGGGCGCCTTGATGTTGTTAAAGTTTAAAGACTGTGCTCTTTTTAGTGGGTTGGGTTTTAAGTTACATACCACATCGTCCTACGCGCTCAACCACAAAACCATTGTACAATAACTAAACATTTTCCCTATATTTGCATATTGAGTATTAATAGATGATTAACTACTCACATTACTTTGTACGTTTTTGTACAGTACATCCTGAGGCTGGTCTTTTGACCGATCCAAAATGACAGCATCTTTTGTGCTGCCGCCCAAGTCCCATACCCTCGGTTTTTTTCCGGTTTTCTCTGATGTTGGTGTTTTAGGTTTAGGTTCTGGAGGACTTTTTTTCGCTGTCATCTTCTCCATTAGTTTTTTACGATTTTCAAATATAATATTTTCGTTTGTTAAACTTGTTTCTGGTTGTTTGTATATTTCTTGTATAACCTTTTTTGCGCTTTCGTTTTTACTATTTTCATCATACATAGAAGCAACGTTTTTCTTAGACTTTGTGGATTCGTTGTAAGAGCGCATTTGTTTTGGAGCTCGGCTGACTTTTTTGGCAGATTTTTCCACTGTAGTCAATGTATTTTGAAATTCCTCATTAAAATCATAAGTTGAATAAAGCTTTCGAACAGATGTCAACACTTCAGCAAATTTTCTCTTGAAGTCTTGTTGCATTTCAAAGAGTAAGGTATCCAAATAATTCAACTTGATTATTTTTTGAAAGATCACAGCGTACACCAAATCCAATTCATTATCAAGCTTGAATTGTATCGCTAAATTGTCCTCTTCAAAATATTTGGAGTCCGCATTTCGCTCCTATTTTAAAATAATGCATATGTTTATAAAAACAAACCAATTCGATCACATCATATTCCGAATATTTACCTCAAGTATAACACTTCTAATGAGATTGTTAATACATGATGTGTAGCTTCTTTCAGCGGAATTATAGTCCCACAGGACAATGCCTCCTTTCGTGAACACAACAACGTAATCCAACATGGTACTAGAATTATATTCGCTCCCCTGACACGTCATAACCGGAATACCAAAATTTCACGAAACCGGATAAACATTTCTATCACGCCGTTAGAGCTGGGATACTATCGATAGTAACATCGATAGTTGAAAACTGTCGCCACTATCGATAGTTTTTGAAAACTATTCATGGTGAAGAACTGAAGGTGGCGCATTCCCGAAACCGCTACTTTGGTTTTGCCGACTTTGACATTTATGGCAATACGTAAACAAACTTTTTGTTTAGAAACAAGTGCAAACGTATTGTGTACTTTCAAGTGAAAAATCGAAGTAATTCGTGCGTTCTGAAGTAAAAAACGTTTTATTTGTAATAAAAACTTAAAAAAAATGGCGTGTCGTGTGTTGAATTGCAGCAGACGTAGGGGTAAAGCCCCCAAATGCAGTTTTTTTTTTTGTTTCCCCGCGACGACGCCTTGGCCAGAAAGTGGGTAGAGTTCTGCCGGCAGGAGAAGCCATACAATTTAGATACCAGCGTGATATGCATGAAGCACTTTACGGACCACTTTTAAACACGACATGTTAAGTTGAAAACGTTGAAATACCACAAATTACAAATTAAAATCGGAGGTAAGCAAGCATCGACCACTTTCTGCAGGAAAACATGCGCTGCGACAAGATATTATCATTTTTTAGGCACCTGAAATACAAACATAAAAATTCTAAATAGTTAATTAATAAGACCTATTTTTTTGAACACATTTCAAGAGTGGTTGTATATTTTTTGTTAACGTAGTGCTTAATTTGCTATATTCAAAGATGGCTTGAGAAATTGGTGAATCGAGAAGAAAACACGTTTTCTCACTGCAAATTCACAACCGTCAACCCATTGTTCTTCGCCATATTCTTTGTTTACCCGTTGCCTTACTTTTTTTTATGCAAGAAAATTCACAACACAGTCGGCAAAAAAAATTTGAAGTCATTGGGATTTTTAGCAACTTTATTTATTTATTTATTTATTTGTTACAGTCTTACGACTTAATAATACAACTATGATATTCGTACATATGTATATGAATTGTAATGTTCTTATTGCAAAAATTATCAATTAAATATAGAATTATATATACAAAAACTATATATATTATATTACATTATATTAGGCCGCATGAATAAAAATATGCAATTGCCCCCTCCAAAAAGTTCCGACCTTCCACTTCAATTTATTTGAATAATCGAGTACAAGGTCGGAGGGCAGTTGTAAAGCACTAGTTTCCAATCTGCACCTTCCCTTCTATATTATTGCTTCAGTTGTTAGGGCAGTTGGAAAGGACTAGTTTCCAATCTGCACCTTCACTTCTCACATTGTTTCTTCAGTTGTTAGGGCAGTTGGAAAGCACTCGTTTCCAATCTGCATCTTTCTTCTCACATTGCTGCTTCAGTTGTTAGGGCAGTTGGAAAGCACTAGTTGCCAATCTGCACCTTTACTTCTCATATTGTAGCTTCAGTTGTTTGGGCAGTTGGAAAGGACTAGTTTGCAATCGCACCCTCACTTCTCATATTGTTGGTTCGGTTCGATCAGGATTTACGATGTTATACACGCTGTCTGAATGGACTAGATCCAGAGCAGCACTGTTTGGTAGGAGGACGGTGCTTCGGGGATTGGTGTTTCGACTCTGTCAAGATTTGGAGTGTCAGCAAGCTGTCTGAGTGGATTGGATCCAGAGCAACCCGGCCGGATGGAAAGGATTTATTTCCATGCCGAGCCTCTATCTGATAGGTAGTGTTCGACAGTGATCATGTAATGATCTCTGGAAGCTGGCAATGCTTTCGCAATTTCTTGTTTGTGGCGGTAGTTCGTTAGAACACTTTAATCCTTTGTAGAATATGTTCATTTTATCCACTTCTGTTCTGTATAACGGCAATCTAAAGCTATTATTTTCTCTGAGTATGTATGAATGAGTGTCATTTATATATCTGAGATTGTCGCTCAGGTAGTCCGGCAACCGACAATTCTTTATATTGAATACGAATTTCATGGCGTGATAAAAAATTTCCTGCTTAACACTCAGCCAATTCATATCGGCGAGCATCTCTCGTGTGGGTGCATCGTGGCGCTTATTCAGTATAAATCGCATTGTCCTATTTTGCATTTTTTGTGACTTGTCGATTTGTGTATCGCTTACCATGGAAAAGATCGTTGGACAATATATGAAGTGTGGTTCTATTATGGACCTATACACTAGTGTTTTATATCTTCTTCCTAGGTACTTACATGATCTTTCATGAGACCAATTTTTTTAGCAATTTTATTTACTGCATAATCAACATGCTCATCGAATTTTAACTTATTATCAATGTATAAACCTAGGTATTTAACGATTTTTACCTCCTCGAGCTTTTCATCTCTGATTTTTAAGCTATAGTTGAATGAGTTCGCATTAGACACCCTAGATAAGAACTGTGTCTTTTTCACATTCACTTCAAGTTTGTTTAAACATAACCACTTATATAAAGAGTCAAGATCTTCCTGCATCTTAGATATGGCATTTGGTAAATTTCTGTCACTGATGGTTAGAAGCGTATCATCCGCGAACTGTTTTATTTTACAGTATTTCAGTACCGTATTTATGTCATTAATGTAAATGTTAAAAAGAATTGGAGCAAGAACCGATCCTTGAGGCAGACCGATATTTACTGCAACCGTTTTTGACATTTTTGACTCAATCGTTGTTTGTTGCTTACGGTCTGAGAGAAAACTTCGACACCAAGCCAGCTCAATGTTCTCTATACCAATAGCTCCAAGTTTTTTCAACATTCTAGTCCTGTCAATAGTCTCAAAGGCTCTTTTCAGGTCAATAAACACCGCTAAGACATTCCTCTTTGCCAACCCTTGCAAACAGTAATCATCTATTTGTGCACACGCAATTGTTTTGTGGTACACTCTCCCACACACACCAGCACAGCTCACACCGGTTTCTCCTCTGATGCCTTTTCGGCATCTTCCGCACTCCGTCATTGTTTCACTCACCGCTACTTTTTATTTGTTTATAACAGCGAACGTTGGAATAATTTTGTGTACATATGTTTGTTTGGTTGCGTATATTTATTTTAATAATATTAATAGTGTTTATTTGTATGCATCACTTTCGCAAAAATATTTAAAAAATTTAAACATTTGTACCAATATGTACGTAATTTAAACTCTCACTAACATGTATCTTTTAACACTTTTCGATGAGCGATCAAAAAACACGTCCGTCGGCTTTGACGTTAAACCAGAAGTTAACACTGAGTTATTGTAAAATTTAATAAGCTATAAAACTGCTTACATAAAATTTTTATTGAAATTCGAATTAAAAAGCTTGAATTTTTAATTATATTTTGGTTTTTATGTTTTGTACATTTATTATAAAAAATTAGTAGACACTAAGTAAACAAAAAGAAGTAGTTAAAACTACAAAAAAATGTTGTGGTGCTATTATTTTGAGCAGTACTATATTCGTTTTCTTATAAATGGTAAAATGTTAATTTCCCTTGTCCGGATTTTGATATGCGCCTCCGTATTTGATCTCAGTTGAACTTTATAAGTCAATTTAAATGAATATATATTATTTTGTTTGTTTTGTAGTATTATAAATGTATTTTTATAGCCAATTTCACTTCTTTGCACTTTTAAAGGGACAAACACAATCCGATTTTAATTTTGGCATATAAAAAATAAATTCAGATTTTGCCTGTCGCTATTCAAGGGGATGCAAGGGTATGTATATTATAGCTGAAATACAATGCCGGCGAACGGCGAACTCACCACAGCGAAATTCGCGCTGTCAAAATTAGAACACCCGCAAGCATATGAAATTGAACACAGCCAAAGCGAAATGCGAAGTTCGCTTGGCGGCGTTTCATGGCGATAGATTTATTTCTATCGCCCTGCTGGGCGATGACAGCTGTGCGTGCCAAAGGCGGCCGTATTTGTTTTTTGCTTTCAAAGTTTTAAAAGAAAACACGACTTTTTTTTGTTGTTTGAAAAATATAGTTGTGGATTAGTTAAATCTGGCTTGAAACAAATTATTTATAATAATCTTTCTTTGTTTTACATTTATATTTGTTATCATTTCCTCATTTCTAAATATGGTTTAGTTTTTTCTAAATATGGTCACCCAAATTATAAAGGCGACCAAATGGGATCAGCTGTTTTCGCTACCGCTCTAATTCTGTTTAAGTAGGCGAAATAGCTGGGCGAACGGTGAACGACAGCATCGCCCAATTCGGCGAAGTTTGCCGTTCGCCGGTATTGTATTTCAAGCATAAGTTATATAATTCAGACGCATAAACTAATAAGTTTATTTTATTATTATAAAAAGTTTTTTTTTGATGCACTCAAATTAAAAAAAAGTATACAATCTCTTTAATTTACAAAGTAATTTATAAATTTTATAAATTTATTAATTATTTAATTTTCAAGCAATTGAGCGTTTCAATTCAATATATTTCACGACGATAGTACTATCGATACTATCGATGTTTTCAGCTATCGTTTCGAAAACTATAGAGTGGCGGTACTATCGATAGTATCCCAGCTCTACACGTCGTGTTTGTCATGATAAAAACATAGCAAGATAGAACCGTTCTCTCAATTTGTCGGCCATGATTTTTTTTTAAGTTTGCCAGCATTTTAAAATCATGTAAAATTGAAATTGTTCGAAATTGTTGTTGCTTGATATTGAAAATGAAAATGTGTGTGTTAGTGTTAGTTTGTGAGTAAATTTAAAAATTAAAATGTTTGGAAACGTCAAGAATTTTAAAAGTAACTATCAGCGGGTCTACCTTACTATATTTTTATCATGTTGTCATGATTCAACAACTACAGGTTGTAGCAATCGTACAAAAACAACATTTACCGTTGGTATGAACTCCTTGTGTCATCACCATCTTTTTTATCTATTCATATTCGTGTGTATATGTATACCCTGCATACCAGGATTTCATAGAATTCTGAAAGGTTTCACAATTTTTTTAAGAATTTTCTTTAAGAAATCGTACAGAAATTTCTTTACTAGTTCTTGTCAACCGCCTCATATGTTTTTCTTTACAGATTTCTAAAAGAATCGTAACAAATTTCCGACACTCTTAAAGATTTCGGGAGCATT